AGTTCTAGAAACGTTGCGTCACGGTGGTCATGTGACTCGCTGACGCAACAATATGTTCTTTAACAATTACTGAATTCCCTCTATATTGACAGATGTTGAGGATAGCCTATGTAATGTGTATATAATATATATATAGATCACTTTACTGTTATTGGTCAACTTATTGTCATAGGGAATAACGTCTGTGGTAATAACACCCAAATGTGTTGGGGATATCCCATCTATCAGACAAAATCCAAATGCTGATGTTAAACTAGTCAGCCATCATGGAAAATCAAATAAGGGTACAAAATTTATTTGATTTTTGCATACATATAATAAGTGAAAAAATGTCTCGCTAAAGGTATGTTTATTTCAAACAGTTAAATGTATCTGCAAGTCCTGAGTATGCATTAAAAACTATATTCTGTAAGACATTTAATAGCAACAATAACTTTCCACTCTACAAGTCGTATAGTTTTTATGGTAAGAGATGAGTTGGTACATTAAACATCCACAACTTTCTATCACTTTAGAAACTAATTAATGGGGGAGATAACCAAATATTATTAGTTAAAGATGTGATAAAGAATTCTAAGCAACAACTCCACCATGATGGTCTTATCAGGCTAAGCTGTTTACTTGAACTTTTCAGATCTTGGGGATCACCAACCCTCTAGGTGAAAAGAAGTATGTTGCAGCAGCTTTCCCAAGTGCCTGTGGGAAGACCAACCTGGCCATGTTGACTCCATCGTTGCCAGGTTACAAAGTAGAATGTGTTGGTGATGACATTGCTTGGATGAAATTTGATGAACAAGGCCAATTGCGTGCAATTAACCCCGAGTATGGTTTCTTTGGTGTTGCACCAGGTAATGCAGAGTGATTGTATCAGTTTGAATACTGTGACTTTTCCAAAATATGAGGAGTTCAGATAAATGGGTTTTAAGGTCTGGTATTTGGCAATTGTTTGAGAATTAATTTATCTCTTTAAAATTAATTTTTAAAACTTAATATGTATTTGGCATTACTTGTCTTCTTTGATCATAATGTTTCATTTAAAAATAATTATTAGAATTGTAGAAAAATAATATTGTAGCATATTTTAAAGTTATTTTTCATTCTGAAAGCATGCAATATACACTTTATTGGTGACAGAAATGACTATGAATACTTTGTAGAATAGAAATATATTTTTATACTGTAGGAACATCAATGAAGACTAATCCAAATGCAATGCTGACAGTTCAGAAGAACACAATCTTTACGAATGTGGCTGAGAGAAGTGACGGTGGATTTTTTTGGGAGGGCATGGAAGATGAGCTTCCTAAAAATGTTAAAATAAAATCGTGGACAAATGTTGAAAACTGGAAACCTGACAGTGGGAAACCTGCAGCCCATCCTAACTCCAGGTATGCTAAACGTGTAGCCTATAGTTAGTGTATTCAGGCTTTTGAATCTCATTATTCCTAGTTCACAGCCATTGCACCCTGCATCTTGGAGCCATGGGTGCACTATAAGTGTGATAGTTTAATACTACTATTCAATGAAACAAGAGTTAGCAGTGAGTGCTTTTGACTAGCTATTTTCCCTCAAATATGTAAGTTCAAAATTAGGGACAACTATGCACAAATATCCCTTGTGTAGCTTTGTGTGAAATTATGAAAGAAACAACTAACTTTTAAAGCTGCAACATTAATTTGCAGTATACAAGTGCTTCTGCAAACTAGTTTGATTGATCACATGAATGTTACTGTAACGACTGAACAATTAGTTTATGATTGATCACATGAATGTTACTGTAACGACTGAACAATTAGTTTATGATTGATCACATGAATGTTACTGTAACGACTGAACAATTAGTTTATGATTGATCACATGAATGTTACTGTAACGACTGAACAATTAGTTTATGATTGATCACGTGAACGTTACTGTAACGACTGAACAACTAGTTTATGATTGATCACGTGAACGTTACTGTAACGACTGAACAATTTGTTTTTCTTTTTTCAATATAAAAATATGTGAATTGTGTTTGGTTATATTTTAAAATATTATTTACATGTTCAGTTATGTAGAGAAGGTGAAAACAAATCCCTTACTATAACAACACTACTATACAATTACTAGAATATTTACTGCCACCTAGGCGTATTCCATAGTATGGGCTTGATAAACAACACATTTAGTGAAACATTAGTTAATAAGTAACATTACGCGCGCACGCACGCACACGCACGCACGCACACACGCACACACACACACTGATAGATATAAAAGTATAAAATATACACATGTTTTGTAGGATTTGAAAATCAAAATTTACTGTCATTTAGGAAATATTATTTTAAACTTTATGCATATAGATTCTGTGCTCCGGCCAAACAGTGTCCAATGATGGATTCTCAATGGGAAGATCCTGCTGGTGTACCAATTTCGGCAATTATCTTTGGAGGGAGAAGACCTAAAGGTTTTGTTGCCATTCTAGATGTTTTGTTTTTCTAAACCTTATAAGTGTTACGTGGAGTTAATGTAAGTAATATCTTCACTCTTCAGAAAAAAGAAGTAATGATTAAATGCCCATTTTTTATTTATCTTGCAAAACGAACAAAACAATTTTCTGAGGTTCTTATCCTCATTTTACATGTAGCACTAGTCTTCAGGAAGTTCCAGAAAAACTAAAACAAAAAATGTATGAAATACACGTTTTATCACTTACCTATAAACACACACAGGGTAGGAACTTGTTATTGAAAATTACAAAAGTGGACATTAACACTTACTGTATGGAGGCTAACTAATCTGACTTAGTCTCTTGTGATGAAGTTGGATTGGCTAAAAGGCTTAATGATCCAGGTAAATAATATTAAAATCAAAAAGGAGTAAATATGCATATATATTTATATTAAAACAATTGTAAATAAATTTAGTTTCAAACTAAGAATACGAATTTTAAAAATATAATTCATTTCGGTAAGTTTTCAAATTCAGGGAAAAATAAACCAAAATAAAATAAATAGGCTTTTATATGTCTTTCAAAAATTGAAGGTTATTTTGATTTATATGCTAATGACTTTTTCCTTAAATGGTCTTTATGGGTGGGAATGTAAATTTTCCCTTCAGCTTTGCCAACTCTCGTACAATAATCGCCAGTAGTAGAGTGGTGAAAGAAATCACTACATAGATGCGAGTTTATTAAAAGTTGCTTCAAGTATGAAGTAAAACAGACTCTGTGCTGCATCATTAGTACTGATTCCCCTGCATGTTACTGGGTTTTTAATCATGTCACAAAAAATCACTACCTCTACTATGTTTTCTTATTTTGCATAACATATTTACTTTTTTTTTTATCTTTATATAGTGTTTGTTTGTTTGTTTTCTAATAAGCGATTGTTGTTGTTTTTTGTGTTATAGGTGTTCCGTTGGTTTATGAATCTCTAAACTGGCAACATGGTGTGTTTGTTGGTGCTGCCATGAGATCGGAAGCTACTGCTGCTGCAGAACACAAAGGTAACTCTCTTTTTATAATCACTTCTTTGTGTTTTGATACTTTTGTTAGTATTTTATGTCTACATGTAACACCTAACACTCTGTGACTCAGCAGTAAGTCTGGAGGCTTGTAACACAAAAAAATACTGGGTTTCAATACCCATGGTTGGAACAGCACAGATAGTCCATTGTGAAACTTTGGGCTTAAAAACAAACAAACAAGCATTCCTGTTTCTGTTGTCCATGTATTCAGTTCCTTAACTCTTAAAATATTTTTAATTTTGATACTTTGCTTTTTTTACTACAATTACATAATGTTCCAATACCTCAGGAAAGTTAGATACAAGATACTACAGTTTTAATTTACATTATGAAAACGTATTTTTATTCCAATTATAAGTCAAAAAGCAAAAAAAAAATCAATTAAAATGTTATTTTGAAAATTATGAAGAAATGCTTTTCCAAAAGATTAAAAATTATATACAAAAAAACTAGGTTATTGAAAAAAATTCTTTCTTCTGCATTTGCTTCTCTGTGTCTTTACTGTCATTACACAACAATCCTGTTTGGAGATAAAATAACTAATTTTACAACTGTTTAACAATTGAAGGTTAGCGATGGCATCAAAAGGAGTATGTTCAGATGAAATGTAGTTTAGTTTTTTTCAAATAATTTTGTATGTTACCGGTCTCTGTTTAACTTCTTTCATTCTTCAAGCATCACTGATTGTCGAATTGAATACTTCTGTTTTGTGGTACTTTATTTAACTAAGAACAAAGATGTTTAAGTCAAATAACGTTATAATATTTTTTCATAGATCTGGTACTTTCTTGCAGAATTGAAACTACATTTTATTTATCAAATCTTATTATACAAAATTTCTCCTATTTTGTTTTATGTTTGCTAATCTGGTGGCAGAACTACTGAAATGCTTACGAAATTGAAATATAATTCCTAAAGTTATTTTCATAATAAATTAATACTTGGTAAATATTTAATCTGTTTTGACCAAAAGACGTAACTGTTATTGGCGTACTCGTAAAAACCAGTTTCTGGGTATTTCATTGCAGGTAAGGATAAACCTTATTTGTTTCAAAAACTCACCCCTTTCTTTTCTAAACAGCCAAAGTCATCATGCACGATCCATTTGCGATGCGTCCATTTTTTGGGTACAATTTTGGGCACTATCTGGAACATTGGTTGAGTTTCAGAAAGAAACCTGAAAATAAGTTACCCAAGATTTTCCACGTCAACTGGTTCAGAAAGGACAATGATGGAAAAATAATTTGGCCTGGATTTGGTGAGAACTGTAGGGTCCTCGACTGGATTTGTCGACGAGTTGATGGTCACGACATAGGACAGGTATAAAGTGATTATTTTTTCACGTGTATGACAAACGTTTATGATGTCTATAGAATATTTTCATAAGAGTTGTTTATTGAGAAACTAAAATGAGGTAACTTTGAAGTACAAGCAAAATATGAAGTATACATCTTAATGTAAAACAAGTCTAGTCAAAACCAAGAACACCCGTAACAAAGATCTATAGATGGATGTTCATGGTAACGATTATGAGTGCCTAAGCCTTACAGCTCCTTCCATCACCTTTACACCCCCACCCAAAGTAGCTCAGTGGTAAGTCTGAAGGCTTTTAACACAAAAACCATTTTATTTTGCAAGCAGGATATTTTACACTAAATTGTTAGGAATTAATCACATTATCATTTGCATTTCGAAATGTGACATAAAGAATAAAAATGTAGATTTATTGTATGTTATTGTTAAGCAGCTCTTAGCATGACTGAAATGCTCAACAATTACTTTTTGCAGTATAAGTAGCTCAGAGTGAAACCAAGGCTGCAACACAATTAACCTTTTTAAAGTCCATGAAATAATTTAAATTGATAGATTAACTTAAACTTTTCCCGTCACTGTGGACAGGTATTTTTGCTTGTAACTGATAATTGTTAAATAGTTTACACATGTACATACTGTTGAAAGTAACAGCTGTACAGGAAAAAAGCCAAGTTCCCAATGCTGTAAAAGATGTATGAATTTTTAAAAAGTTCTTCACAGAACTTAAGGTCTCCTTTTTATTGGTAAAATCAGTTGCCTTCGTATCAGTAGTGAACATGTTGGTCCAATGTATGTGTGTGTGTGTGTGTGTGTGTAAACAAACTTTATTTAAAAAATTAATACTTACATCAAAAGGAAGGGCTGTATTAAAAACAGCAAGACCAAACCTACAATGAAATAGAAAATTTTTATGATACAAGACAAGCCTTATTAAGAATGTAAAAGTATAACATTGTATATAGATGTAGGATGTTGTGGGCTTGAGCTCCCACATCATTTCATTATTATTTTACTCTTTTATACATGAGGCTTTGTGAATGGAGGACATTAACATTAATGGCTGGTGTATCCCTACATTACTTTGTGGGTTCAACTTCTGCATTGACATCCAAAGACCAGGACATATGTTGCATCCCATACAAACACACGGATATATAATTTTTTCTTTCCAGGCAACTGCCATAGGATATGTTCCTAAGGATGGATCCCTGAAGACAGATGGACTTCCTGCAATCAACATGAATGAGTTGATGTATGTGCCCAAAGATTTCTGGCAAAACGAGGTTCAGGAGATTCGGAAATACTTTGGTGAGCAGTTACCTCAAGATCTCCCAGCCGAAGTTGCTGAAGAACTAAACGAACTTGAGCAACGTGTTGAGAAAATGTAAACATTTATTAAGTACCGAGTACCAAGATAAGATTAATGTGTGTAATTCATGATAGAATTTGTTGAAAAAGGTTTCTGTACTTCTCCATTGAAATGTGAAGGTTTTGAATGAGCAATTACAAGTATAACATAAATTAAGTATTAGGGAGAATTCTGTTTTTTAAATTTCAGCAAGGATTTATTAGTTGTAGATAGTAAAACTTTATTTTGTCACAGTGTTTCATCAGGTTTATCTGGTATTATCAAGTAAGATACCAAACAACAACAACAACAAAAAAGACCGATACCAGACAAACCTGGTTAAATGTGACAAGATCGTTTTATTTTGTACAACCAGTAAAAACCTTGCTGAAATTTTTGATAACGTATATATGCCACCAATTTTACCGCAACTGGACAAAATTAGGTAAGCGTGAAGATCACTGGAATGCAAACATAGTGGACCAGTGCATATATCTCTTGGTTTTAAAACTAATATGCTTCTTTCTACCAAATTGATCATAATCACTTGTGTTCTGGGAGATATTTTAATAATTTCTGTTTCATTTTTTCTTACTTTTGTTGAATTACTTAAAATCAATCGGAACACTTAATCATTCAAAATATTTTGTTCATTAATTCAAAAATGACATTGTTTTTAAATGAATGGAGACTAAAGCTTTAATTCACAAATCATTTTTAACTAATTGAGGGAAATGTTCAATAGTATTTATATCTCTGTAGGAAATATTTTCACAAAAATGTACTTCGTAAACAAACTAATATTTTGAACACTGAGACTATAACACACATTGTATTGAGGGGGGGAATTATGATAATAATAGTCTACACGTCATATGAAGATAAACTGGAAACATTATTGGCTTTTTAGAATTTAAAATGCATATTTTAAGATAATTACCATTATAATTTTTTGAGACTACGTTAAATATACTTTTTCAGTACTTTGTCGATTAAAACTTAAATAATGGAATGATATGAATTGCAGAAGCCTTGAGATTATTCTTATGATGTTCATTGAGGAGTATTAATATTTTTTGAAAACTGAGTTAATACTGTTATGGGTTGGTTTGACAGTTTAAGTGTGAATTCCAAATTTCATTGAATACATTTGTATTGTATTTATACTACACTATGAATCTTATACATGGGTTTTAAAAATCCTAAATACTATTTTTTATTTTCTCTTAAACATCATCCCCCCCCCCCCAACAAAAAACAATTTTGTGTACAGTGAGAAAATTGTCTTTAAAAATCATGCAACTTTTTTTCTTTAATGTATTTTCAAAATCGAAGGGCAACCGTGGTTTCTGATACGAACTAGTCGACTTAAATTCCATATCCCATTTTTGTCTTTTCCTATTGTATTTTTTTAATAATGCTTGTAATGTCTTGGCAAACATAAAAGTTGATACTCAGACTTGCCATTTCTTTTTAAGAAGTTGATTTGCTTGAATTCTAAAGACATTTACACTTAGTAAACACAGTTTGTTCATTAAAATTGATATCTTTCCTACTTCTTAAAAAACAAGCTGTAAAAAAAAAAAAGGTTTGTACCCATTAGATCTAGTTTAAAAAATAAACTGTGATAATAATAATATTATGATTATTTTCATGCAATAACCTTTCTGGTTTTAAATCCTATTTTCTGTGAAATAATGTTTGCCTCAATTTGGAAGTGAGGTGTAGAGTAACTATGTACGAGATAAATAAAATGTTTCAAAGAAGGTATTATTTGTCACTCGGGAAAGCGTAGCACATTCGCTCTTCAGCTGAACATCCAAGATGTTTGCACATTGTTTGTTTAGAATGTTTTTTGCATAGGCTGTTCCTAATTTTGAACCGATAGACCAGAGGGAAAGTCTATAAGCAAGAGTACCCATGCCAACTCTTGAGCTACTCTTGTCTGACCAAGAGGTGAAATTTGACTGTCACTCTTATAGTGTACCCAAAGTGAAATGCATTTTCACAGCAACAGACAATGAACTATAAACCCTGGAATTCACAGCCTGAGGCTACTAGGCCATGAGGAAATCTTGTTTATCTGTATACAATGTAGGTAGAAAAAGACTGTTCCTTGCTGTTTTACTTTAGCCTAATCTCTTTTAATAACTAAAAACTTAATTGTTTTCATTGCTTGCTATATTTGGAAATTCAGTTTGAAATTGATTATAAAATTAGCATATTAATGATACAATTTCTCTTTATAACAACAGTTTATTCATTGAAAAATTACATAAATGTTTAGTATATAATGAAACAACAAATACTAAAAATGTTCATATTGTCACAACATATTCACTTGTATATCATAAACGTATATTGTATAAAAAAACAAAACAAATGTACATAAAAACAATGTAAATGTGTTCACTGGGTTTTTTTTTTGTCTTAGTAATTTGGGATATTTTTATTCTCTATTCCTTAAAAACAAAGTTTTGTTACTCAAGACGGTGGTACAGTAAATTACCACAAATTCAAAACATCCTAGTCGGTGACAATTCAACAAAGTCCTCAAACCATACAGTAGTAAAATTAACATTTGAATCATGGCTAATTAAACATAAAACTGATAAATTCATGTAAAATATTATTGGTTCTTTGTTTTCATACAAATAATCCAGATCACAATCTTCGGTTATATGTGTGTAAAGCTAAGGAAAAAGAGTTCATATATTTATTAGAAGGGTAGTAAACGTTAAATATACTAGTAAACCTAATTTGTGGTTATATTCTAATAATTTGAAGTAAATCTATAGGAAAGATACACGTTGCAGGAGAAAGTTTGCAACGGGTTGAACATTAATCTCTACACAGTATTTAAAAACTGCTTTATAGTGTGGTGTGCTCACATAGATATATTCTTTTTTATGTGGACAGTAAAAATTGTTTTCATGCAAGCAAGTGTAAAATGTATTACATCACAAGCTGGAAATATTTTATAAGGACGAGTGCACATTTGTCTTGATGCTCGAGTAGGTTAGTGGAGTCAGGTGACCACAAGATGATGGAATATTACAGACTACCGTACTGATTGGGCCTCTTATTTCCATTCTATGTAACTTTTCTACCTGGGTTTTCAGCTGGTCCAAAGTGTGTGGAAGATCTGGTCCGGGGCTTTGGCCAACATAATCTGGTTCTTTTGGGTAAAGGTCATCACCTAAGACAAAAATACTTCTAAAATATACATGTACAACATTATTAACTTCTTATCAGAGCAAAATTTAAATTTAACTTCGTAATGAGTTATAGTTAATTAAATAATTTTTCCTTGTAAATCAGTTGGATAC